ATACTTTCTACAGTAGTGTTTATGATCACTCCTTTGATGACACTCCAGAAAACACATCAAATCACTTCAGAAAATAAACATGTAATTTTCCACATGCACTAGAAATGGAGTAAGACTCTACAGTGTAACAGCTTACACTGGGGGAAAAAAAAAAAACTTAAACAAAAAACCCAACACAGACTCCCTGCCATGTGATGAGATTTTTGCCTTCCCCTCTTTCTCCCCCCAAATCATACCTTAGTTGATGTATGTTGACAGACCTGCTGGATAGCTTCTGACCTAAAAAAAATAAAAATCAGCACAGCCTGTTTTACACACCACTTTTTTTGTTCATCAATGAGGTGCACTGTTGCTGGGAGAAGATAATTATTACTTATGGGACAGGCTCTGAAGTTTATTCCTATGAAAGCTTTGTTCAGAAGGGAAAGGCAGATCAAGGACAATTTTCTCAGAGAGCCACAAAGAGCACTGATTTTTCACAGCACCATCTTCAGCTGTATTGCATTTTCTATCCCTAATGGAACAGATTCTTCCTGCGTAACCTGAGAATGTATTTGTTTGAATGGGCTTAAGGGAGCAAATGGTAAGTTTGCCAACAGACTAGTCAACAGCCAGCTACTATCCACAGCCAGAATCAGGAACTCAAGTGGTATGAAAGAAAAGAGGCCAGTTTCTCAATATAAAGCCCTAACAGCTGGCAGAAACTATTATTTTCTCCTTGTTTCCTCAAGTCTGTCCCAGTTGCTGTGAATGTAACACATGTCCTATGAAATGTGGCTGCCTGATATTCATCCAGGTAAAAATGGTAAAGCCCCAGCGCAAACAAGGAAAAAACTTAATGAAATTCAAAGGAACATAGGGACGTAGGATCCTGAGGAGACAGGAATAAAAACTGACAGGAGCAAATCTCACCAGTGTTTACTTGTGCAGTGAACTCACCAGCTGCTGCAACAGTCTACAAGTGAAACACTGAGAATCGGAGGGCTTGAGAACACGAGACTTGGGTGGAAGCCCTAAGAAGTGTGAAAGAAGAGAGACTTGGGTGGATACTGAGCATGCTTGAGGTACACAGAGCTGCAGTCAGAGGGATGAGGCGAGCAAGTTAAGTCAGTTGGGAAGAAAAGGTGTATTTTCCTTGGTAACATGTAAAGAAGTGTCTACACTCCTGGGCTGAAGTGCCGAGAGAAGTTTCTTCTTCATATTAGAAGATAATAATGGGTGTCTAGGACTACGGGAAGTAATTTAGCTGCCTCTGGTACTCACCAAAAAACAAGCAGCTCTTGGTTTTGAGGGCAGGATAGGTTTCTCTTTTCTTTCATACCTTTAAACTCCTAAAATGAACTCACCCTATCCTCTACTGGCACAGATTCAGGAGCTTGCAACCCCTTTCCAGGGCCCCAGAGTCCCCTCAGCGCAGCCCCCTCCAGCCCTCCCTGCAGGACCCTTGCTGTTCACAGACCTTCAGGACCTTCTTCCACCTGGTCTTCCTGGAGCTATGCTACTTGTTCTCCTTCCTCCCCAGAAACCACTGCCCTCAAGTAGCTCTTGTTTTTCTCCCCATGAGCCCCCATAATCACAACATAGACCATTACTTTAAAAGAAAAAAGTGGTTTTACATTTGAATAGGAACATTATACATTAAGTTACTATATAAATATATATACACACATACATATACAGACATTTGTCTCTAGATTTTGTACAAACCGCAACAATCTCATACCACATGACCAAGTCTTGATCTTTGAACAGTGCAAAAAGGACTCATTGACACTACTGGTTTCCACCCAAGTGTCTGCCAGCCTTTCAGGAGAGCTATGGATGTCTGCCTCTTTATGTCTTCCCTACATTTTGCAGTGTTATTTTTGCATGCACATACATAAGCACAGCCCTTCTTGTCAAGCCAACTAATCACTGTTACAGGTAACCAACAATGAGAATAAACTGGAGAATAATTTGTTCATTTACAGTACTGTGGAAGCTCAGGACTTCCAGGTTTGAAAAATAAATGCTTGAACATAATAACCACAACAAAGTAAACGTCAAAAAAACATCCCTAATTCCAACACAAAGTAATAACTACCTTGCACCAAGTTACATAGCTTTCTCTTGAAAAAAAATGAGCCTTGAGTATTCTATTCAAACAAATTTAAGTGCATCAAAAGTGGTATTGTTTACTTGTGTGATTTTTTTCATATATATATGTGCTGTTTTTACAACATAATAAAGTCTTTTCTGTAAAATTTAGGTGGATATTAGTGAACTAAGGTTGTAAGCTGAATACAGAGACTGGATATGGGTGATGAGTTCGTGTTCCTCTTAGCAACATGCAGAAAACAAATGTAAATATACTCTTTAAAAAGCAAAGGTTATGCTAAACTGAAAACAACACAGTAATAAGCTGTAATACGTATTTGGAAGACAAAGAACTGAAATTCTGTGAAAATTAAGGAAACCAAAACCAAAAAATGTACGTATTGGCCAAAGAAGCATTTCAAGCAAAATTTTTCAGTGGGCAGAATTGCAACTCTCATCGCCAGCTTTTGAAAACAGCCTATCTTTACTGTGTCTTTAATTTTCTCCCAACTCTTTGCTCTGTTGTTTTTAGGGCACTGTGCAAATCAGGGGAGACTGTAAAGTTCATCTCACAGCCTGCAATTCAAGAATTAAGAGTGTTTCCTCCAGCTGTGAACACTAAACCAAAAATAGAAGTACTGTCAGAAATACTGTTCAGCCTAAGGATGAGACTGTAACTCATGGTGGGAAGAACAGTGACTGTGAAAGAACAGATCTGTTGATGAGGGAGCTCAGCAAGAACTGATGGAAATGTAACTTCTCTTCCCTTAAGCTTTTATTCCAACCACAAATGTATTGTCTGCTTCAAAGAGAACTAAAATTGAAATAACTTTTTGCTGGTAATCTTTAGCTGTAATTCATTCTTTTGAGACCAAGCTTTGTTAAAAATGAGGGATAATTCTCAAAAAATGAGTAATATTAAGAAAGGCAATGCACTCTGGAATGCATTAGTTTAAACCCTAAGGAAAACCAAAGGGGCTGGAATCACTGCACACAGCAGCGTGGAAGGAGGTATGTGTTACGGTGTATGGTTACTGAGCTGGAAAAGGTGACTGCTGCCTGTGCGCTCCAGAACTATGACTGCAGCAGAGAACATCCGTTTTAGACATATGTTTACAGTTAACAAGAACAAAAAAAAAACCCAAATGGGTGAACCTTGTGGGATGTTACCTACCCAGAAATGAGTAAGGCACACCACAAAACACGTCAGTGTAGAAACCAAATATGAGAGACTCCAAAGAACTGGAGATTCTCTATGCGCTTGCATAATTAAATACTGACTCTTATTTAATAAGAGCATGATCTTGTTGGGAAATTCTGATTTAAGCTAACCCATAAACATTAGCTTTAAACGAACAGCATTAAGTGTTAGTTAACCTCACAGAAGTTAATATATTTTAAGGTAAGATATAGCACCTATCCAACAGATGCTGCATATAAAGGTATTAGGAACCCAACTTCAGCGTGAGACTTTTCAAACTTTTAGCTTTAAATACTCAAAATAAAATCAAAATTAATTTTAAATGGCCATTATTAAGATGTTTGTGAATGCCCTGGAATGTATGTTAACAAATGTAACAGTTTAAAAAATTTTAATCTTATGTTCATATAATATTTCCTAACTTTCTCCTCTACATAAATGAGCCAGTCTTTTTTCTGAGGGTTTGGTTTCTTTTTTTTTAAATTTGAGGTCTGAAAAAGAAAAAATCCTCAGGCTGCATTCTTGTACAGCACACAGAGGAACCAGTAACAGAACTGGTGATATTGCTGTATATAAAATACTCTGAATGTTGTTCTAAGAATTCAGCATCTGAAGCAAAATATGTAATTGTTTAATTTCATTTCTATCTTGGCATCAGTTTAATTTCATTTACTACTCTAAATGGGTTTCAAGTTATTTGTAGGAGTATTATTTTTCTCAAAAAACATGTCTGTCAGATTATGCAACTCAGTGTTTGTCACTTACTATGGCTTTGGCTTAAATATTGCTAAAAGATACCTTATTATCATATGCATTTTTTAAAAGATTCCTGATAATTGCTGTAAGTAATATAGACCACTTTAGTCTTAGAAGCTGCCACCGTTGAAAAAGATGTTTGTTTTCTGAGTGTTCCAGTGACTTGCACATATTGCTGGGATTTACATTACTTGTTTTTTCTTGAGCCTGTCTTTGCCAGTAACGCATCCGTAAGGCCTACATCACCAACAGCAGCAGAATAAGGCTGCATGCAGCCATGAGTCTCATTAAAAAGCCAGAACAGAAGTTCAACGATATCAAAGTTGAAAACATTCATTGTTACAATTCACACAGTTTTCTCCATCATACCACCTTACGTTCACCTGGCAACCTCACCTTTCTCCTCTCCTTAATCTTCACACCATTAACATTATGATCAGGTCAAAGGTGCATTTTCTTAAGCATCCATGTCCTTCATCACTTTGAAATTTACCATCTTGAACCTTCATTCTGTCATAAAACCATTGCTGTATTGATACACTTTGCAGTTGGATTCTGTGGTCTTGGAGCTGGCAGATTCTATGGTCTCTGTAGTGCTGTAACAGTCAAAGGTGTCAAAGAGAAAAGCCAACCCAGCATTGTGATCCACATTCTAAAGCTAAGGAATTAAGTTGTGGAAGACCTTCAGAAATGCCGACCAAAATGGGCCATTTGGATAGCACCCAAATTACTCAAAGCTTGAAATAGAAGAGAGAGGTGGTGTTCCACAGGGCAACTGAATGACCTGGAACTGGCAGTGAGACACACCAGTCATAAATCAAACCAGCTGGCTGTCAGAACTAGTGTAAAATATACCTAGTCTGAACGTCACAGTTAAAAAGAATGGCATTACTTGGAAAGCACCCGCCTTTCCTTCCAAGACATTGATAGTTCTCCAATTTGAAAAATCCGTCCAGGCTTCACGGATTTAAACAGGGGAGGAGTTATGGCAGTCGTTTATTTTATCTGGCTCCACAGACAATGCTGTTTCTCTTGGCTCTTGTTTAAGTTGGCTCACACAGACAGCATCTTCTGTATTTTCTTCAGCTTAAAAACAGAAGAAAAAAATCAAACACTAAGTTCAAACTCCACTGGTAATGCATCAGCCCCAATAACTGTATGCCTTTAACATATTTCAGGAAGTCATGGGAAGGCATTTGTGAAGGTAACTACTGTTTGGTTTGACAGCCAGTCATGTCATCTACTGTGCTGTAAGACATTGCAAGTTGACATGAACTTGCAGTAAGGGCCCCCTGCAGTAACAATATTTAAACATTTTATAAGAAAAATAATATGTTTGGAGATATAAAATTACTCTCACACAAAACGTCTTTCCTCTTTCCCATGGAAAGATAAAGCTACTGTCTCTTCTCTTTTTCTAAGTGAAAGTGGAAGGGAGGTGCTGTTGCCAAAAAAATTAGCTGTAAATGACTGGTCACTTCTGAATGACTGCACATGCATTTTCAGCAGAAAATAGCTTATTCCTAAGTTTGCACTTGGACAAGAGAAAATCCAGAACGTACAGGATAATTTTAACCAAGCATCTAAGGGTAGGCACACACCCAGGAGAAACAATTTCTTGAAATACACAGACTGCTAAATTCAAGTATATGGTGTTTCCTCCAAATAAGCTCTGTAACACTATTCCCTCTGCAGTCTGTTTTTTGCCCTCCTGCTCTCCAGAGAAAGAACTTGCCCCTGGGCAGGGTGGGGGAAAAAAAAAAAGTATCTGTTCATTTTATAGGCAACTCCTCCACATAAGTTCAGAATGGCACCAATACAGAATCACAGAATGGTTTGGGTTGGAAGAGACCTTAAAGACCATCCAGTTCCAACTCCCCTGACATGGGCAGGGACACCTTCCACCAGATCAGGTTGCTCAAAGCCTCGCTCAGCCTGGCCTTGAATACTCCCAGGGATGGGGCATCTACAGCTTCTCTGGATGCCCCAATATTCTCAAAATTTCCAGATTCAGGCTGGTGATGACAGACTGACACCTTGAGTAGAAAAAAACCCCGAAATCCCAAAGGAACAGTGAGTTTTGTCCTTGCAGTTATTTAGTTTTATATTTGACTACACCTCCTTTTGTGTAAAATAGCATTTCTTTAAAAATTCACTTCCAACGTTCATCACTTTCAAAAAACTTGAGAGGCACCAGCATCTAGACTGAACGAAGGGGTTACACTACTGAATGGAGGAGTGGCATTTGATCATGTCTCTGAAATTCTTTTAACCTGAACGGAAACTATTTCTCAGGAGAGTAGCCTAATGCAATTATAAGGGGGAAAACAACAAGTTGCACAAACATTTGAGTACAGCAGGCAGAAAATCCTGGAAATTTAACTTTGACAATACTGCCACAGTAAAATATCCCAGTATTACTTTAATATGCATGAATTTCAGTATATTTCCTCATTTCAATATTGATTCTTTTCTGTTCTTATTTTTCCTTTAAAAGGAAAGGAAAGATCATAATTTTAGCTAAATATTAGGATTTTCAGCAAAAAATAGTGTTCATCAAGTAAACTGGTGTTTGGTCAAAGCAACCAATAAGCAGTTTCAGAAGTCATGCTGGAATTTCCCATTATCAAGACATTTCTCTTCTTTCTTCAAGACACATAGGACAAAATTCACCATATTATCTATATTTACATATTGTTGGGAAGACTGCAACTTACCCAGTGCTGGATGGCTGTCCACAATCCGTACTGGAATAGTGTGTACATCTCCCAAGAGAATCTGATGGACTACTCCTTCTAGGCTTCTGGAGTCATCTACCCCTTCAACTGCTACCAACTGGCCCACGGTGACCAGGCTGTGATCAGAGCCGGGTGGGTTCCCAAGGGCAGAGGCAGCAGCGCTTTGCTGTGTTAGGCCAGCAGCTGCTTGCAGGCTGTGTCCCTGACTAAGTACTAGAGGATGGTTGGTTATTGCGCTCCCTATGGAATCCAAGAGATTTGCAGGGCTGGGAGGGGAATGGTTGTTAACAGCTATCAGGGCTGCTGATCCATTTGAGGACGTAAAAGTTGACTGCAGCTGTAATCCCTGTGAAAGAGAAGGCAGAAGAACTAACATACCTGTATTTACAGCAGGAGGAATTTGCATTTAATGGCACGTATTCTGCAATGCTGGAATTGGATAGCTGCTGACTTCCTATACAACATCTCTTCTGAACAGTCAATCCCAGCAACCCTCGGCTATGGCTGTACTAGAAAACAATTAGGACAATGGTATCCAGCAGCATCTAGAAGATTACTTATGATCATAAAACCAATTTTGGATTGATATTGAGTTTCAAATCATTCCCCAATACTGCTTGTTCCCACAAGAGGTGGGCACCAAAAGCTAAACATACTGCTGTAAAAACAGACAGGTGGAGCCAGGCTCTCTTCAGAAAGAGGGAAACAGCAAGTAGAACAGCATCATACTGCAGAGTATTTCTAGGGAAGACAACATGCATTTCATTGGGGTTCAGGAAGGGTGAAGGAGGCTTTTCAAAGTGGCAGTTAGGGAAGAAGGTGAAGAGAGCCAACTTTGAAGGGAGATGAGCTTTAGAAGAAGCTCTTTTAGCATGACATTCTTATTCTCACTCTTCAGCCTTTCAACTGGCAAGTTTACAGATCTAAGCTGGGAGCAGTTTTACAATTTTAATGTATTTTCTTAGGAGGCTGGAGGAGGATTCAAAAGGAATAAATAAGACTGACTTATCTCCCCTCAGTTTTGCAGCATTTTCATTACAAAATGACTGGACCATGTGGGAAATGAATAGGTGCTTTGAGCAACCTGGTCTAGTGGAAGGTGTCCCTGCCCATGGCAGGGGGGTTGGAACTGGATGGTCTTTAAGGTCCCCTCCAACCCAAACCGTTCTGTGATTCTATGATTCTTGGTTTGAGGCAGAAGCCCACTACCCTCATGTTCTCGGTTTTGTCTTCACAAGAGACCCTAACTTCAAAGTGTCAAAAGGTGGGAGTGAGATCCCCTGCACCACACCTATATCCTAAGTGTGACACACGAGAGAGGCCAAAGTAAGTCAACAGCTATTTTGTCTCTGTTACTTAGTCAGTAACAGAGGGATCCTCAGCCAGTTTGGGATCATTAGCTGAAAGGGAAGTTGCTGTTCTCAGCTCCCCTCAGCATTCCCAGCTCAGAACATTTCACGTTCTATGAACAATGTGACTGTACCTGAAGTTGAGCAAATATCTTGGGCTGAAGTGATGACAATGAAGACAACAGCTGAGCTGTTTCTGGTAGCAAGGACTCCCCACTCTGGTTGGATTCCGATTTGGTGACGACTGGCTCCCCTGCTGAGCTCCCTACAGTGCCACAGAGAGGAAGAAGGCAGTTAGGACTTTCTTTTCTCGTTTAAAAGCCTTCTCTGCGAACTGAACAAACCCCTTCAATCTCAGTACAGACATATAAAAGACACGAATGTATGTGCTGTTCTGTTTGCAGAAGTAGTAGGATGCTAAACGAAAAAGGCTGGGTATGAGAAAAAGACAATAGGAAGACTGCATGTGCCTGCTCGGAGTAAAAAACAGAAGCACCGATCAATCCATTTTGGAGTGCAAAGTGATTGCGACATACCCTGTGCTTAGAATCTCTAGTTATAACACAAAAGAAAAAACATTTCTATAAAAGCAGCAGTCAAATGATTTGACAATACATACACCTCAGTAAGGGCTCTGTAACAGGTGTGACAGGGATCAAAAGAAAGCGTTGTCTCCCAAAATGAAAATCTCCACAGGAAATCCTCTAAGTCTCACCACTCCCTTCCAAACATCTTTGTGAAATCAGGATAACTTCTATGCAATATCACACCCAAAGTCCATTTATCTGGAGGCCTTTCAGCCTACAGATTACATTATATCTTTAAAATTCTTGCTTAATGCAAGAACGATGGACTTCATTTCCTGAAAACTTGTCAAAATTGAGGTTGACCTGTAGCAATTTCTGCAAGAAAACTTCCCATGGGATCATTTCCTGTTTGAGCCACCCAGAACATTTTAGATAAGGTTTATCCAGATGCAAGCAGACATTGCTTAGCCTCCTATTTCGCAGTTTCACTGCAATAACTGTAAAAGAAGAGTTCACCCTGTGCATGTATATCAGGCTAGTGAATGGAAAAAATCTGAGAACGGTCAACCACAAAAAGCTTTCTAGCAGGAAATCATACAAAGGTTTCTGGCAACCTAAGGGAGTGGAGACACATTTTTCAACATACATATTGATTTGCAAACTAACTCTTTATCGTGACTGACCATCAGATACACACTATAAATCTCTTTGAACACAGCTACTTCAATTAAGCTCTTTTTAATAGTACACAGAGATCCCATATGCAAATGCGAATATTCCCATATAGGAAGAGATGGTAGTTCTTTCCTTAGGTTGTTTTTTAAGAGTAAATTGGTCCCTATTCAGCACAAGCAGAAATAAAAAAACCTGCATCTAGCAGTAGTTTGAAAAGTCAGTGTGTTTTCCCTTACTATCACCTCACACACATTAATGAGAGCTCATTTTTTCAGTCGGGAGCTTTTTTTTTTTTCTTAAACATGTAATACAATTCTAGACGTGTTTGCAGTGCGTACACATACCCACTCTCACATATTTAAGTGGAGAAAAGATATGCTGGAATAAAAAAAATCTGCTTATAGTCACAATTGGTGCACATGTGCAGAAAACTACACAAGTCCAATTCTCTAGCTTCCTTTAAAGCTCAGTATGTCACTGGATGGATGTACATCGTATCATACACATTTGATAGGCTACCTGGCCTAGAAGATTATCTGTAAAAGAGAAAGAAAGCAAGAACTGGACTTTCTGAACCATCTCCAGTATTCAGACAGTTCATACCAAAAGTCATCCCCGCTGAGCTCTATCAGAGCTGTTGAAGGCACAAATACTCGCCGTCTCTCTGTAAAAGCACGGTAATGGAAATATTAACACAGCCATGCAAGCTTAAACACAGTAAGTTCGCTCACTGCAAACTCCTTTTTTCCCTAAAAAAAAAAAAACCCCAAGACTTCCTCAAAAAAAAGAGGGACACAATTCAAACTGAGCCTAAAAATTTACCTCTTGTCCTCTGACAGCTGTCAACACCGAAATTCTTACCCCAAGAGCACCAAGCAACAGCTAAAATGAGTTAAAAAAATCCCAAGCAAAACAAAGTCCCACATTGGCCTTTTCATTAACTGTAAATACATTGGTGTACATGAGACTGCTTCATGTAAATCAGGTTCACTGAGTCATTTAGGAGAAATCACACAGTGCGCCAAACCTCTGGGGGTTTATTGTTCCTGCTACAACAAAGATAAGAAATAGATGGGGGAGTGACAGGGACCAAAGGGGAAAGAAGCCCAAACACAACAGGGTTTCTTCAGGCAAGAACCACGGTGGAGGCTGTCAACACGAGTAAATCCTTAAACATGACCACTGTGGCAGTGTCCCTTTCATCCCTGCAGATTTCTCTATCCACTGTCTGGAACAAAAAGTACTACCCCCACCGTCTGCCATGTTCCAATTAGATGAGGAAACAAGCTGGCAGGGCCACCGAGATTAAAAACAACTAAGAAGTCTGCAGCATTATCTTAATGTATGCAAATGATCAGGCTGTTCCTCCTTGCTGCAATCATATCCCTGCTAAAAGCCAACAACCTTTCTGATGAATTTCATATCAAATCTATTAAACAAGGGATGGGGAAAGCATCCACAAACACACGACAAAGTTCTTTTGGTGTCATACTAGACAAAATATCCTTGAAACATAGGGAAAACGGGCAGAATAATCTCATTTTAAATTTATTATCAGCTACCATGATCCAGCAGAGCATCTCAGCCTATATGTAAACCTAAGTATGTGGGTAGCAAGTAGATCAGTTAAACAGACCTGTATTTTGGTTTAGTTCATGTTTTAGAGTTGAAGTAATAGTAGCAGGAACTCTCTTTCAGAGGAGGAAAGACAGTGTAACTAGCATCTTCAAAAAAAACACACCTTCAACCATGAATGCATAAAAACAAGCATCCATAGAAAACTACACGGTGATTTTGCAGCAGAGTGTGGATTCACACATTAATGAAGAAGTTACATAACAAAGAACTGAAGAAACATCTCACAGCCCTGCTGCCACTAAACACACATGTTTATTTCTATTCTAAGCATTAAGAAAAATGGAAAAGAGCGCTCTTAATTCTGACAATAGAAGGACAGGGTTTCTTGTTCAGGGCCTGATCCTAGCAGTGAAACTCAGCAAGCCAATGACTTTGTGAGAAGCAGGAATCCCACTATACATTCAAGTCCTTTTTAGCAAGATGGTTTCAGCATGTGTGAAGCGTAAATCATCAAGGAACTCAAGCACCCAGTTGGCTCCTGGGTATTTTGTGCCCTGACAAATATATCTGCCCAATAGGAATTTAATTCTCTCTAGACAGGTGTTATTAGCACCTTCATCCAAGGCAAAATGTTCTTCCCACATAACCATCCCATTAAGATCTCCAGTTGCTTGTGGATGCTAAACAAAAGCCAAATGTTTCGTACTTCTGCCAACCCCATCACAACTACACGTACTTTTCCACACATGCAGTCAAACAGCTAAGAAAAAGTACGCCAAAACAGACACACCAAAATAGTATGTCCTCCTTAAGTTCAGCTGAGTGACAGAACATGACAGCAGCCTCTCTGGAAGGAAACGAATTTCTGTGACATACCTAATAAAACAAATCACATTTGGAGACAGCTAAGTTATTCATGCAGTCCTACCATCTGAAGGTGGTGAGGCAAACGTAACAGTCACTGTTTCTGTGAGAACACTCCCACTGTCTGTGGTCCACTGCAGCTGAAAGGAAAAAGATCTCAGTTCTTAGAAAGGGTGCAAGTTTGTCTACTACAGGAATTTTGTCACTACAGGAGCGGTATGAAAAGCCTGTCTAAAACTACACTTCCTTTTCTTCTAACTATGCATTTTGGGAGCTCTTGGTTTACAAAAAAAACCCAGAATATGCAAAAGATTTTTTAACATGCACTGTACAAGGAAGGCTAACGTCTGCTCATGACAGTCAGAAGACTTCAAACAAGAAAAAAGTCAGACCATTTCGCTAACTAACAAGTACCACCCACACACCAGGGCCAAGAGCAGTTAGGGAGAGGGAAAAGACTGCTGACACAGCGTGATTTATCAGTAGTTTGTCAAAGCTGATTTTAAATCAGCAATTCCTTAGCAGTCAGCCTCATAACTGGGAAAACTAGGATTGCTGTATCCCTTATTACTCAACAGGCGGAAGAAAATTAAGGAACAACACATAAGCATTACTGAGCACTCTGAAGTATCTACTTCATGGTCACTTCACTCGCTATGAAGCACACTTACTAATATTTACACATTCATTATGTTGTGCAAGCCGTTTAGGGTTGCAATTAGGCTGCACAACAATTTAGGCTGCACCTGAGACATACTTCATCCCCGTTTTCCACATACGGAAAAGTAGCAGTAACTTCTCCAAAACACAGACAATGACAAAGCCATGAATAAAGTTTTCTGACGCTTGACAATTTTTCTACACCACATGGCTTCAAGCCCATGCAGTCAGCATGAAGTGCTGGCTTTGTATAATTTGTCAATCAACTCAGAGCAATCTAATGCTGATGAGATAAATATGGAATAAGGTCAGAAGGCTTTATTCACATTTAATCCAATCGCAGAAGGCCAGAGATTCCACTGAAAATATTGCTGCTGTAAATATAAAGTCACAGAGAATTTTGGATGAAATACAGCTAAGTGGTGAAAATTAAAAATAAGAATTCCAGTATTTAGCTCCCAAAATCAAGAATAAACACAAAGGCCAACATACCGTTGCTGGGATACTCTCAGAATTACACACCACCTCACCGTTCCTCAGGGACTTCTGTACTTCATGAATGTGGTTCTTGATGTCATTCACAGTGGGGAAGAAGGACAGGTTATGTCTTTCTGGCACTTCATCAGGCTTGAATAATTCTCTTTCCACATACTTTCTGTCACATGTAAAAGGACATTAAAATATCTGTATTTAAAATATCTTGTGCTATTTCCCTCTGTAACAGATACTGCTACCTTCTCCCTCCCCTTGCTGCAACAACAAGAACAAGCTAGAAGATCTGACCCAGTTCTTTGTGCATCTGCTACAGAGTTTGGAATTAAAAATTCCCATTTATTCAACTAACTTTAAAGTGGACAGCAGCTCTTAGTGGGTATCTACAACGAAACGGAAAGAGAAGACAAAAGCTGGGAAAACCAGATTCTCGTGACTTATGGGCAATCTATTCAGTAATGCATCAGCCCTGCCATTTAGCTGCAAACCAAATTAATCAAATGCAAAAGCAGATCTAGCACTACAGATGGAGCATGCCAGACAGTTCTGTACCTTAGTTGCTTCCTCACTGCATAGACCTGCTCTATTCCCTGAGACACCAGTTCTCGGATCTTGTCTGCCACTTGAGGATGAAGCCGGGAAGGCAGAGCACAGTTCTCATCTTTAACAACCTCCTCCTCCTCCTCAGGAGAAGACACAGAAAAATGGGAGGGTAAAGAAGGGAGGCAGGAAGTTTCCATTTCATGATATTGGTGGGCTTGCTGAGTGGGTAACTGTATATACCACCTGGCAAGAAGGAAAGAGTTTCTACACACCGTTCTCAACAAAGGCAAAAAAATGAGTCTCGGGGGAACAGCCTGACAATCGCAAACGACCTAGGTAGAAGGACTTAAGTTTTTACAGCCCCTGGGTTGGAAGATACTGCTGTTCAGAGCTCAGGGCCCTCTCATACCTTCCAGCGCAAAGTAAACCAGCTCAACCCCCCAAACAATACAACTATTTCTACCTATTCCCTGCACGAAAATACCCCCTGAAGTTCCAGAGCTTGCTGCTTAACACATTTACCCAACTACATACTCAAGCCACAGAAGCCTTACTGACAGTGTGGGAATTTTTACTACTGATATTAAGCAAGAGCCTTAATAAAGCCACTAAGTAAAAAAATAAAGCAAACCAAGCAAATTATTGCTCTTTCTTGCTTCATTTGTCAAGATAAAAGTGGAAGTTTCACCTGAGGACACCGCCAGCATCTATCAAGTTCTTCTTCAGCATGTTGAATGCTTTTTCCTGCTCCAATCTTATGATTTTCCTGTCAATTTTAGGGTCAGTAGGAACTCTGTATTCTGGAAACTTTTGAACCTTTTTAATATAGATCCTTCCAAGGGCAGAGGCAGGTGAGGGGAAAGAAAAAAAAAAAAAAATCTCCTTCAATACACTACGCCCTCAGGGGAAGGCAAACACTATTCCACATCAGATATCAGTATAGAGTAAGTTCAAGCAGAGTGTTGCAAGAGGTGAGGGGCCTCTAAGAAAACCGTAGAATTACTAAGGACACATCAACAGAGATGGATGCAGGTGGAGGAAGACAGACACACTCCTTTTCCAGACTGGAAGCCATTCAGCCAGAGTGATTTTCCACCTCAGCAAATATCCTGTGTCCCTCTGCATAGCACAAGCACAATATCATTTCTGAACAAGCTGTAGATCATCCGGATTGAAGCCAGAGTTGAGCACACCCATACCTAGCTGCAACTGCCCAGCAGACACACTCTGAGCTCAGTAAAAACTGAACAAGCACCCAGAAGGATGCTCGAATTCAAGGAAAAAAACAAAACAGTGTTGGATGAGGAGAAAGTCCCCAGTGAACAGGAAGAACTGTAGCTCCTTCAGCAAATAGGACATCTGATAAATTAGGATGATTGACTGATATGAGTGCAATGAAAAGTCTGAAGGAAAAACCGCAAGTAAGACAACAAAGTTTTCAGACCAAATGGTCGCTAAATGACACCACAATTAACTAATGCCCAGGTAGGGAGTGATTCCCACTTGTACTTCATATGCCGATGCACTGCTACTTTGCATGCAGGCAACCTACCAAATCTGAGCCTCATTCAGTTTAACAGGACAGTATTTCCTCCTTTCCTCTAAATATGTATCAACCTCAAGTTATCAAGGAGACGAAGCTAAGAGTGCAAGGCTCACAGAAAGAATGCTTGCGTAGGAAGCTGAGTAGCTCTTCCAGCTTTATAGACAATTCTTACCTCGCTGGACACGTGGCTTTGTACAGATGGCCAGAGGTGCTTTCCTGCTCACCTGCTTTTTTGGGCTGGAACCCTTTCCTCCTTGGCCCATACTGGCACTCCATTACAATGGCTCTGCTTCCTGGGAACAGAAAGTAATGCGCTCTATTTATTGAAGCACCCACTGAAGCCATTACAGTAAAACTGCAACTACAGAAAAGATGCGAGTTACGAAACAGTTATTTCTGTTTGCATCAGAGTCCTCAGAAGGCAGCATTCAAATACTGTGCAAATGTTTCTCTCACAGCACATAAGGAACACAGAGCATTTTCAAAGCATTTCCCAAACTTATTATACCTTGCAACACTCCTGCAACATACACCAAGGCAAAATACTGGATTCTGCCCTGGTGAATGCCAATACTTTGTAAGATGAGCAGCTGTGCAAGTTACCAAAGGAGCACAATGCTGGTAATAAGCATAAGAGGTGCAGAATGCCCCCAATAATCGAAGAAAATCCACAGCTGAAATCAAAGGTCAGCAGCTATTTCCAGCCTCCTGTGTTAAATAAATACTTCGGACTATGCTGTCCCATAAATTCTTACTTGCCAGTCTGACCCATCTTATCTGCTAAATAACACTGTTTCAGTGTGGTGTACCCTCCCCAGAACCAGACAGGCTTAAACAAATACTCCTTAGCTTTAAACTTGAAGTAAGTGACTCCTTCCAGTCAGACCTCTAAAGACCAGCATCCAAGTGGCCAAGAAAGGAACTTCTTCCAAATTTTCTCCATGTCACGTTTAGTTATCTTTCATTTATAACTCTCACACTCCAGCATGCAGGCAAGGAGCTACCTATACCACAAGCGATATAACCAAAACCTTTTTAAGTATCACAACAGCAGCATAATATGTTTCTACAAGATATCAAATAATTTAATGCCTTAGAGTGTGACATAGGGGGGAAAACAAAAACCAAAGAACAATGCAAATAAAGAAATAGGAAATCTAAGAGAATTATGTATAACAGATATCTCCTGTCTCTTTTTTTTTTTTTTTTTAAACAAACTTAAAATCAAAGTTCCAGGATTGAAAATACTTCAACAGCTTGAAACTAGTCCTTGCCATTATGAATTCTTAAAAGCAATTTGATGGGGCCCTTGTTTTACAAAAGTATCAACTACCCAAAAATCTTAAAAGAAATAAACCCAAGATTTTGATTATCAGTGCATGTTTTACAGAGAAGCTGGGTAGCTCCCTGTAGTGTATTTCCCCATAGCTGAAGCACAGGAAGGAAAGGTATTACAGCTTGGTTCCACTTAAGCAGAAGGGATAAATTCCTTGAGACCAATACTTTTTTCCTGCAGAGTTTAGAATTCAGCTATCTGAGATTTAAACTGCAGTTCAGTAAGTGGTGTTTACAGCCTCTGCTCTACAGGTGGTACAGGATTTTAATGAAGGCTTTTCATAGAGGAGTTATAAACTAAACCTGAGCGTGTTGGAAAGGCAACATGTTAGAAATATACATAATGCCTCTTTGGGGGTCTGAGCAAAGCAAAAAACATTACACCTTAATAATCTGAGTCTCTATTAGCCTACAACACTTTAAAGAAAAAAAATCTACAAGTGTTTTTTCTCTAAATATCTTATTGTGGGGCAACTCATTTATCAGGCAGATCTTACAAGAAATTAAAGACGTTTCATGCATTTGGGGGGAGAGGGGGGGAAAGTGTAAGTTGTTTCGGCTTTGTTCTTAGCTTTCTTATACCTCACAGTTTATGGCTGAAGTTTTAAAACTGGTGCTAACATTTCACTTGTTCAGTTACTTAAAAAAGAAAAGAGAAAAAGCAAGCACATAACCTACATTCCAGTCATTCATGAGATCTATGCAACAATTAAAACCTGTTAATTGCACATCTGAATGAATTTTTAGTAATATTCACTGCATGAGCTAAATACGTAATTACCAACCTATGAAGTGTGCACATTCATTAAAAAAAAAAACTGTCTGCTGAGATATGTTGGGTTTTATTTTGCTTTTTAAATTTATTTAGTTTTTTAAAGAGTGCCATTTAATTAGTTCATTAGTTCCTGTGGAACAAACTCTTCAAAGCATCCCCAAGTTAGGCAAGAATACTCAAACAAGCTCTTACCCTTATGAGAATTTTCATGTCCTGATAGAGCAGAGTGGGTCTCCATCTAAAGATCTCATCACAAGAACCCCCACCTAATGGTACTTAACTAATTTATTTGTAAAGAACAAAAGGAAATAGTCACAGCAAAACATAAGCCTGTGGTTTCAGGGAAACAAGCCCCTTCAGAGTGTGTCACGGAGATGCCCAAGCTGCTCTTGTTTTTGTTTGTGCCTTGACTTTTTCAACGCTAAGGAACACCATAAAGATCCTTCTTTATGGCCAGTTGGCAACTGATGTTGAAATTTTGAAAGTAGTGATTAAAATAAAAGTTAGTTACCTGCATTGACAAAGGGGATCCCATCATATGGGACATACTGAGATTTCCACATCAACCGTGTGGCGGGTTTGGCTGGGCTTGGAGACTGGCGCGTCCCCCACACACTTTGTGTTTGCTGCTTGTGTAGCGTTAGAACGCTCTCTAACTCTGTCTCGCTCACGCAATAGCCGCGGTACGAGTCCCCAATTTTCTGCATGGAAAGGAGGTGAAATAATAGGATTATTCACCCAGCTGACTGCTGAACATTACACAAGAAAACAAAAGCAGTCAGGGACTCTGGCAGGTGAGGACACAGGCCCAGATTTTTGGTGTTTCATTTTCCACCCCACCCCCCCAATAGTATCCTTGCAAATAGGTTCACCACAGGATCTAACACGAGAGCAGTCCTCACTGAGGCCAGGAGTTTGTCAGCCCTCCAAGACCCCTAAGTACACCAAGAACCCCTAAAAAGTTTACAGTTACTACCAACTCTGATTTCCACAGGCAAACTTCGCTCCTGTCATTTTACCCAGCACACACTTCACTTGCAGTCACCTCCAAGGCAAATTTGCCTTAGTTGAACATTTTCACTCGACTCCCAGAGAATCTTTGCAGCACTAAAAATTGTCTACGCATCTGCTTTGACACACACACGCTGCTGGAGAAAAATACACCTGCTTTAACCATCGCCCACTTAGCACACTAACTCTGAATTGAATGTCCCACGCAATGCCCCTCCCAATCTCCAAGGCACTCCTGCTTCTCAACCTTACACAGAAACATAATGTACCAGATTTACCATGTGCAAACTGAAGATGGTTACAACGAACTCTCGGCAACTCCAAATAAACTGTATCTAACCTGACCCAAAGTTTAAAAAATACACACACCAAACCCCAAACCAAACCAACCAACCAACCCCCAAACGTAAACCAAAACAAACCCAAATGAAGAAACCCCCAAACGTAAACCAAAACAAACCCAAATGAAGAAACCACAAACAACTTGTTGGCTTTGTAACATGCCCTGTGACAGCTGTTCAGCCACTGAGTGCTGTCACAGCTGGTTCAGTGCCAATGTACCAGGGTCAGCCAGAAAGCAGCAAACACACTGGGACAGAGAGGAGCTTTCCCTCTGAATTCGGAACACCATGCTCGCTTCTGTTCATACATAGCTCAGGATCAGGCTGACCAAGCAGCTGGTAGTAACACCCAGAGTAAGCTTGCCAGCTCAGTCTTTCAGCATATCTGTGGGGCAACTGCATGGTGAATGAGTACCGAAGTCTGATGGATCTATTTTGCCCCATTCAATGACAGAGCAGCCAGATGGTTAAGTAATATTGACAACAAAAGCATGTCTCCAAGATTATAATCTCACAAACACTGCAGTGTCAACTGCATAAAACCTGCCTCATAGTCACCTAAGAAAAACAAGATGTCTGTGGTTAGCAAGACCTAAAGTCAACAAAGAACAAATGCGCATCTTGAGAACGAACAGGGGCAGGACGGTGTTGCTGCCAGCACAAGCCCAGAAGTAGCGGGTTATGGATGCACCGGCTGCATGAATCATTCCGAGATTCCAGTTACTTACACTTCAGCAGCTCACTGCACTGGAAGCACACTGCTCCAGCAGTTACAGTCTACATAGGCTGCACTCACACAGCCGTGGTGAGGAAGAGAAGCTGGTAGTTGTTTAGCCAGAAATTATAAATAACAATCCTCTCCAAAATTTGACCTAAAAAATCCAGGAGGAGAAGCAAAGTAACCTGAGAAGTACCACAAGTACCTTCTTTGCAGATACCTGGGATGCTTCCGTTCACAAGAGGGAATACAGTACCACTCCACAAGGTGAATACTGCATGACCAGTGTTTTTCTTTCCATATCTTATACCTGTCACTATAAATAGGTCACTGACGTTATTATTCTAGAGAGGTGAGAGGAAACTGATAAAACTGTTGTGCCAGAAAAGTAGCAATAACCACTGAGGCACTGTCTCCTATTCTGGCTTTACTTCCGCACAAGATGGATCGTCTTCCCAGAATTGGTGGGACAGAAGGAGGAAGAGAAGAAAATCATCCAGCACATAAGATCCCTGTTCTCTAGGAGCTTCCCAAGCAGGAACAAATGGACAAATGAGACCATCTGCCCCACACAAATAAATTAACTTAGCTTTGTACAGTTGAATAATTAATGCAGTTTTTAATTACACTCTATTTCAGTATGTTGATACATGCTGGGAATGCATTCTGATCAGACCACTGAAAACTGAGTAGGTGACAAAGTAACTATTTTTCTAAACACACTTTTTATTAACAATGTAATTACCTTGAAGTAATCAGATACACTCCAACCCTTTAACTTCAGCCAAGCTTCGAGCCAAAAAAAGGAGCAACTCCTTTTCTCCCCCTGGTCTCATCTCAGCAGTGGTACATAAAAGCTGACGCTGAAGTACACACATCAAGACTGAGTTCTCCTTGAGCGAACTAACAGCAGCAGGATACCAGAGGCATTACACTGTCTAGGCACAGCAAGCCTAAGCTGAACATTTCAAGGCAGGGAATCAACACCCAACACTGAGCTTAGTGCTCATTTTGGACAGCTGCAGCTTGTACCGCTCTGCAATTGCCTGCAGTATGAAATGCCAAAGGATTCCTTGCCTTTGGGGTTCAGTCCTGGCCATCTCCCCGGAATATATAACTGGCAGCACAGACCAAGGCTCTGCCATGGCTTCACCCTGCTGGCACCTTCTGTGAAACGCACACAGACCACTGTGCTGTTTGTTCCTGTTCTGGCTAGTGACTGAAAGAGAGGAATTGTGAGTTGCTGTATTTATGTGCACCTCTACCAGGTCTCCAACTTCCAGTTGGACCTCCAATCCTGACTAGTAACAAAATATTTCACAAGACTGTCACACCTGAAAGATAAAGGACACCTCAAAATCTCCTTGTCTAGTCTGTGCCCATGAAGAGGCACATGCATCCTAGCAGTCTCCAGCGGATTTACACTGTGTATCTGACAAACAGCGCAGCAGCCCTGCTGGTAACAGACAAAGGAGGAAGAGAACTTGGGTTACTCCTTAGATGGGCTGGCTCTGCGGGAACAGCAAGAAAATGTTGTTTGTTTGTTTAAATGAACAGGGAGGATTAATGTATACAGGCAATAATTCAACTGAACAGCAGGGGCAGCTGTTTATATCCTCAGAACACAATCAGACAGTATTTAATTTCCTTTTCTTTAAAAATAAAAACTCATCCATGAATGCTGCTGCTGTGAATTTTAAACACAGCACGTGGAATTTCTTGTAATAGACTGAGATAGACCAAGCAGACCATAATACAAGTCCTCCTATAAAATGAAACCAATAATAAATGATTCAGATGCACCACATAGTGCTAAAAAACACAGTAATAAGGGTTATACATCTTTACTGGACTTTAACAACTAGCTGGTCATTTGAATTAAGCGACTCATTCTGTAATAACAGTATCTCCGCCATCGCAGAATTAGTGTTATTAATTTTCTGACTTCCTAAGTGGATATAATAGTGGACAGTACCATTTGTATGAAATAAAAGGCATATAACAAAGAAGAATAGATGAATATATTAGTTAATTTAAAAATTATTTCTAAGTGGATACAGAAAGAAATTCAGTTTTTAAGTCCCTGCAACTGCAATCTCCAGTTATCAGTTGCCAAGCCAACAGGAAAAAATGTCAGATACTAGGGATATCTAAAGAGGTGAACCAGCTAGAGAGAGAATGAGCTTTCCTTTAAAAGAAATATTAAGAGAAAGCAAAATAAACATCTGCTAGGAAGAGTCTGGTAGCAGAAGGGGTAGGTGATCTCTCAAGAATCTTCCTATATCCCCTCCCTTCCTTTTAAGTGATTTATGACGCATTCTACTGCTGATACCTCCTCAGTCATCAGAACAGTTCTGCAGACATCTAACAACATGCAAATAAAGAGAAATCTGTTTAGGTCAAAAGCCTTCACAAGGAATAAAGACGGGGCATTTTTTAACAAAAGATAAAACAAGTGCAGGTAACCATGACAATACAAAAAACCCCAAGCCTGTGAGACTATCTAAAATAGAAATCATTAGTAAAACATTAAGGTGCTCTGACAAGTCCCAGACTTGACCCTGGTGAGTCACATGGATTTGGGTTTTAAAGCGACAACACAAACTAATACAAACCATTGCAGACTTAGGTCATACAAAAGCCAATTCTTTAATTAATGGATCACTAAGGGCAACAAAAACCAGTTTGTTCAGTAGAAGACAGCAGAGCTTGCACTGTAGTCCAAGAGAGAACACTAACAGGGCACAGAATGGCTTTTCCCAGAGCTTTGAGATTTCAGAAGCGCTGGAGCTGTTGATGGTCAGTTATTCTAGCATTCCCAAAAAAGGAAGGGATTCCATAGCATTTTATGTGTTTAAATATGCTAGTAGTACCAGCTAGTACCAGTACTATTTTATCATACCAGGAAGCTTGAACATCACTTGTAAAACTATGAACATTAACCCTTTCATGGAATAGGATCAATATCTTCAAACATCAAGTCAGGACTCTTGGCAGCCCACCTCACAGTTCCTGAGACGGCGCGCCCATGCAGGCGTATTTGGCAGCAGCGGCTGGAGAGGGATGGGAAAGGGATCTTCCGTTAGCCTGAAAAACAAAAAAAATACAGTAAACATCTATACAGACACTTCAGTCTGAACTACAAGTAACATATCAAATCAGTGCATTATGTATAACCCTACAGCTTATGATCAAACTATAGATATTGTATCAACTTGACTTAAAAACCTGGGGTTCATTTTCCCAATATTCTATTTCACTGTTAACATAAATGTAAGTAGTTAAAAACCCCACTGTTCTCTACAGTCAGGAAGACCTCTGGGCATTCAGTATTCTCTCAGTGCTGTTGCTTGACAATAACAGACAAAACATAGTGAAATAAAGTGGTTGATCGTCTTGATAATTTTCTTATGCAGACTGATGGTAGAATGCGAAAGATTAAAACCAGTATCAGCACTTGCTAAACGCTGCACATGTTAGTGTATTTTAAAATTACTGAAAACCAGCCCCAATAACTATTTTAAGTATGTAGTTTCTCCATTCCCTGAGTCCTGGGGCAGAAACAGTGCTGAATCAATATTTATTATTCCAAAACTCAAGTGCATCACCTCCTGTCCATACAAATGCTTCTCCTTTCAAGGATTATTTTTCTAACTTGTACAGACTGTGTTCACAAAATCCATTCACAAACTGTTTTTCTTCATTTAAAACATTTCCTGAATATATATGATTTGTGCTGTAGTGATATTATTCTACTCTCTTCCATGTCTCGATTTCAAAAGAGCATCAGCCAACACAAAACCAATCTGCAGTCCACAGAAGAAATGGGGGTGAGGGGTGGGGGTGTTGCTGTGGGTTTCTTTAGTTAGCTTGGGTTTGGGTTTGGGGTTTTTTTTAAGTGAAAAAGAATCCCAGAGTATTCAGGAATTAAAACAGTAGGCATCACCTAGCATGGGGAGAGAATCAGGTGGATATCAACAGAAGAAAAACATAACTACTTTAAGTTTGAAAACTTGGCTAACCTGTCTGCCTGTCTACATGTTCCACCAAAACACACCGCTAGCAGCTACTTTTGCATATTTTGTCAAAGGAAGAGAACAGAGATTAGGACCTCCCTGTTAATGCCAACTATTGAAATCTCTACAATCAACCTTTCTTGTGGGAGGACAGTTTATATACATCTTAATATACAAGATGTATATTATATACAAGATATACAATATACAACTCTGCTCCCTGAAACTTCAACTTCCTCTGCAGTTCCTTCACTGGATCACTTCTAACTCTTGATTGGCAGTATCAGTCTCTGATTGGAGTAATTTCAGTAATTTGCACTGTGCTACTTTAAATGCCCACCTGTTTCTCTGGTCAGAACATACACAACTCTCAATACTACCCGTATTCAATACGGGTACTTCAATTGCTTTTTCCATTGCTCTGGCACGTACAACAGCTGCCTGCAATGACAGCTACACATCAATTCACTAATGCTAAGGGTCATAACCTCTGTTCTACAATAATTTTGTGTAACTATTGCAAAAACAAGCTGCAGGAAAAAAAAGGCAGTACTAACAGGGGATCAAAATCACTGTTCATCCTTTTAACTCCTGACCTACCTGGTGGTGGGTTTTTTCGATATGGTGAGAGATGCCTGTGGATGCAGAATGTAACTGCTTGCACTGTCTGCTATTGCAGCCACCGCCACAGTCTGCAAGTTCCCATCACCACACTTCTCTTCCGAAACAGCTTTGCAAAAATAAAACATCCTCCTGGTTAATAACTGAACTCAGGATGGGGAAATGACAAGCTATGATTAAACTCTGTGTATTGGAAAAGAAAGCATTTTGACACATGCAATAAGATTTCTAGATGTAAAGTAGTTTAGCAGTTGTGAATCAATACTCAAACTCTAGGCAGGCATACAAAGATACACTTCATAAGGTTGTTTGTACCCAAGGACTTTGGCAACTATGTTACTGCTAACGAATCCTTCCACAACAAAGCAAAGAATCACAAGAACTTGTAAATTACTCTGCTTTACATTTCCACAAATCCATACACGATGGCACAACTATTTTGTTCGTCCGCAAATCACACACTGGTTGCTTTCAAAATAAGAAAAAGGGGATTATGATACTGCTTTGCACTTAGAAAAGAACACCTAAACAAGAAAAAACAGGCCTCTTGTAATCAAATCTGACACACTGCTAGAACAAATGTTGTAGCCTTTCGTGATAACAGGAAGTAATCCATAAGCCAAAAAATACTGATAGAAGCCTGTGTGTATAGCTAAACAAAAACACAGTGGAAAACCCTGAAAGCACACATTTGATACTTCTGTCTCAAGACAAAGGGAGCTCTCTTTAGATGAGGAATTTTTGCCCCTCAATTACGAAAGCTTCTTTCTCCCATCCCGAGAAAGAGTGATAAGCTATCACCTCCGCACGGAAATCACTCCACCAGAAAGCTTGTGCCAGATGATTCGTAAGTGTGCACCTTGGAGTAACACCACTGCCTCAAAGTTCAGAGCACTGAACCTTCTTTGGTGCCTGCTCTGAAGCCTGTGTCGTTTCGTGCACTACTACCCCCTGGAAGCAAGCAAACTCAAGGGCTGACAGTCTCTTCTCCTTCCCCTTTAATCTCAATCTTACTTGTCAGTAAACCACTGACAAGTCTTCCTAACTTTTTAAAGACCAAGTAACTACAGTCTTTTACATGGTAAGTCAAGAGGAAAAAAACCCCAAAACTAAGAACCCACACAAAAAAAACTGTAGCACTTCTGCAGAACATATATTGAGATACTGTGAGACTGAGCTATTTGCAAACAGGGAGTACCAGGTAGGATGGAAAATGAGAATACAAAAATACTATGCAACATTGCAACTTACTGGCTACAAACAGTTGTAGCAATTATTTAGAAACTGAAGGCTCATAGTCAGCTTTGTCAAGTAAAACTACACTCTAACCAACTGGTGGTCTTACCCCTGCAAGAGCAGGTGGAGAGGGAGGAAAAGATGAGCATTAGGGTAGGAGCAAGCCTGGATCTTGACGTGAATCCCAACTTCTTTTCTCTCCACCCAGCATCAGGACTCTACCTTTGAGCTCTCATTCCACAGCAGCACTTAACTAGCACTCAGATTTTGAGAATTTTATACAGAAAATACCAAAACAGTTTAATAAACCTTGGAGAGTTTAACAAAATGTGACAACCTAGCTCTTAGAGTCCTAAACTAGTACACAGCATTTTGCCACCCAGCAAGGCTTGCAGATAAATGATCAATCCATAGATATCAGTATGTCTTTTTCTAGAGAAAAGCTTAAAGTTTGCACTTCTAGTTTTGCATCTCACCACATACTTAAAATGTGACATTAAACACACTGAGGGGAAAAAACTCAGCAATGAAGTGAAAGCTACATCTCATTTTCTTCATTGGGAACTGAATTTCTTCCTAGGTACTTCATTCCTGGCTTCACAAAAGAGACATCATCACCAGTGATCTCTGGAACAGACCAGAAGAACATTAACTCTTCCATCTGCATTACATGAAGTAACTACTTCACTCAAGGTGATGTAAACAGACAGTGAAAATTTGAAGCTGACAGTACAGCTGTCTGACTTGGCACAAACATCCGTAATAGCAAATAAGGCAAACAGCAGCTTTGTGCTTGATAGCTCAATCTATCCAGCACATACCTAAAGTGAGCTTAACAGCTCTTCATTCACAGGGCTTCTGCCCAACCAAAAGTGTGTGGGGGTTGCCAGGTTCATCATCGGGAAGCAGATTCAATGAGTACATATTTTTGTCTTATAACTAAGGAAAGGAAACACATACAAACAAGGTTCTTAAAAAGAGAGGATGCAGCATACGCTTAGTCACAGGAACACACACCCTGACGTCCCACAGGCTAAACTCACCCTGCGTGCTGGTCACATCCAGAAGCTGACCTTGGGGAATAATCACCTGGGCCATTCCTGGCTGAGCAGAAGGGATGACATGCAGAACCTGTCCATTCTCTGACTGGCTGGCAACAATCATCTGCAAGGCAATAACACAAAAGCATGAACAGCACCGGTCTGTATGGTGACCATCATGCAGCACGACTGGGTTTGCTTATTACCAGAACAGGAAATATTATGGTTGGAATTAGGGCCTGTAAATTAACTTGTTTCCACATAATAAGGAACTGCCTATTCACTGTCAAGTTCTTAAAACTATTTTCTCCCTTTTAAAATAACCCTTTAATTGAGTAAAGGAAAAAAACCCAAAACCCACACAGGATTCTACAGCGAATTATGCATTTATTTGAAACCTACAATGTTATTATTACGGCCATCAAAAACCTGGAAGCCATTCATAGTTGGATTCACTGTCAGCCCATTCATGGACTAGCAGAATTAATCACAACATATAAAAATGCTGACCCTTAGTCTTAAGACACTGACCTCTCTGGGCAGCATTTTATGGAAATGCAGATAGAAGAAAAGCTCCAGGACTTAAAAAAAATTAAAAAAAATTAAATCACCTAGAATTCTGGAGAACTTAACTCCTTATAGTAAACTTTCTCATAATCACCAAGGACTTGTTCCTAACAATGTTATAAAACCTAGAAAACAATGTTATAAAACATAGAACAACATAAAACATCATCTTGCCTCTGATTTATTACTTCAGATGGGTCACTGACAGTACGACATATGCCAACAAAACCCTACTGGTCAGACAGTTACCATTTCACAAAGTAAGTGTTAAGAACCAGAGAGTGACGTTTTAAGCAAATTTATTGGTGCGGGGCAAAAGGAGAGACAAAGAGCTTATTGCTAACCCACCAGAAACCACAGAGACACCTAGCCACGGAATATAGAGAAAGCAGCAGTGGTAGAAGTATGAGATCTCATCACACAGTAACATCCAGGCCTGATAAGGATAAAAGACAGAAGTTGTTGTAATCACATTATTAATGGCTGGAGACAGGATATGGCTACCAGAGGAAGGGCAACTGGAGGACGAACTGAACCACTGAGAAGTTTCACCTTGTTGCTAAAGTCTGAAACAGCTGTTGTTACAATAAACAAGCACCAGGTAAAAGCGTTGCTCAGAGTGCTCCCTCTTCTGCGAATACACGACCTGCCCCACTTCAGACCCACTCACCATCTGCGCACTGGGCCCTCCTAGGGGCTGCAGTTCGTAGAGAGGCTGCCCGGTTTGGTCTACTGGCTGGGAACCCTCTGCAGAGTGAGGCTGCGGCTGGGGTGGCTGCGCAGGCGCAGCCGATGATGAGGAACTGCCCGAGGGACGTACTGCAATGGCCAAAGCTGCGGGAGAGCCACTCTGTCCAAAAAATGGATCCTTGGAATCCATGCAGGTTAGATGCTTTCACAGAGGAAAAACAGTAAAATGTACTTTAATCTTGAGCAGCAATTTCTAGTAAAAAAAGCCAAAAAAACACACCCCCAAATCCCCACATTTAAAACCAGTGTGCTGTGTTGTATACTCAGAGGGAGCTCTTGTCCTGATCAAAAGGCTATTAGCTAACACTAGCAGTTCTATTTTTTGTCTTCCACTTGCATGTTGGAAAAGTATTCCTATTTCAACTTCCAAGAACAAACTCTCTCTACTAAGGGGAAAGAAAATCCTTTGTACACAAAATCTGTTCCCCAAAGACACATCACTTTAAAACATCTCAAGTCTACCCAGACACTGAGAGAACTTATACCAAAAAAGCCCCACCTGTAAAACATCCACCAACTTGATTTGACTTGAAAAGAAATCCTAGATACTATTTTACCTGGCCCTTAGATACATGCATTTAGCTATGAAGACAAACATTTCTACAGGCTTTATTAATTCTTTACCACTGAAGAAACCCACGCAATACAAACCCACCAATTCAAGTCCATATAAATGCAAGACCAAGAATCAGATTTTGCATGTCTCAAAAAACAGGTACTCAGAGCTTATTCTCACCAAGCCTGCACAATCAAGTTCTTACAGCACAGCCCATTCTCATTAAATCTGTCTTATTGAAACTCTGACAACACAAATGTAAAAATAATGGAAAATAGGCAGCCTTTGTGTAAAATGTCATGTGAGGCTATCACTTGGCCAGCGCAAGAGGGAGCACAATTTGTTGTATCTCTTGCAGCAATCACACCAACAATTTTGGTGTTTCTGCTACAAACATACATAAACTACAAATCCAAAGAGTGGGAAAAAATGTTTCTAAATTTTATATTGAAGTCAGACTTGGGCCAAATAACCTTCTCAAAAATTCTGCACGTATAAATCTTCTGTGCTGGAACTGTCTACTGTAAACTACACCAGAAAAGCAGCAACAAATAAATAGCACTACCTGTGTTAAAGACACTGTGTAAAAACCATAAGCAGACCACTAAATCACCACGTGAACAGTATTTTGTATTAGCTGAAGCAACTGCACAAGAACATTTATGCACATAAATCTCTCTGACTAGGAATATCTGGCAATATTTGATAATAAATCCATTAAAAAGACTCCCCTTCCCCAATACCTACACAGATGTCCTGTGTCCTTGGATTCTTATTTGCCACATTTGGTGACTAAGCAATCTGACCTGATTTTCAAGTGTTCAGAACCCCTCCTACTCCAAGGCATGTTATCAAGTGTTCTACTAAAGGATTCTGTTAACACAATAAAACATGTATTCCTTCAGCACTATAACAAGATCCAAGTCATTACATGTAACTTCTGGGCATCCACCCGTTCAAAACTGAATGGCACAAGAATCCAAGGGAAGGAACTTTTGTAGTTTTAAAAAAGACTCACTGTATTACTCTAAAGGCAAGAAAATACACACTAATGAAACATCATACTGTAAATTCATCAGAAAGGATGTAAAGAAAGCATCTACGAAGACAGGACATTCATACCTCACCTGAAAAACTGAATCATTTGTGTCTGGGTCTCCTGTGTTACTACAGCTGCCTATGAACAAATCATTGGATCCTTCCATAGCAATGTCAAGGTCAGCTCCATTTTTTTTCCATTACAAGATGACCTGAAAGAGTTACAAAAGTTTATTTCAGCCTGCTGCGCTTTAGCCTCAACCAAGACATTGCTGCAGGGTTTTTTTTGTCTTACAAATTTAGTCTTACAAGTTCTAATGCCATTGCAAACAAAGTCCTCAAGAAATCCCTGCCTCTCTATCACTTTATTCCTCACTGCACAAGAATTTCCATGTGTTGCTCCAGTACAGTTTAGCCTCTTCTATAAGACAGTTTGCTTGACTTGTCATTGCGCACAGATAGAAAACACACATACACACTCTCATGATTTTCATCTACACATGTCCACAAGCACACAGCTAACGATCTTATGCGTCTAGAGAACACTCGATAGTTAAAGAAATGCCAGCACTGCTTTACAAAAATATTAGTCATCTACTTCCATAATCAACAGACAGAATTTGCATTACTCAATTCCGTCATGCAGCCATCTTGAAGTAAATCACATTTGTTTTAAAGGGTTATAAACCAACATAGAAACAAAATAAAGTTACTATTATTAGTCTACATCAGTAAGCTTTGGGCAGGAAAAACGCCAGCTATCCGAAACAAAATCTGGCATGAATCGTGGTGAAAGACAAAAAGTCAGCGCTCCTGGCACTTTGGAGATCTACCTCCTTACCCAAAAAAAGGACTTCAACAAGGTCAGCTGCCTACTATAAACCTTCAAGCAAACAGATAATACTGGAAAGTGAATTGCCACATCCACAGGAATTCACCCAGACGGCATGTTCTTTAAAGCAGTGGCCAATCCCAAATATCCATAAGCAACAGACAAAATGACAAATTAACTTGGCCCCTGTGTTGCTTGAGTACATATATGCTAGACTACACACCTAATATGCCAAACTGAATAAAAGAAAACTTAATTCCTGCAGTCAGGGGTGAAGGAGGGAGGGAGGTGTCCGGATTTTTCCCTTCAGTATTTATTTTAAAGACAGGCAGCATTATATTAGCACATGACTCCTAACAGCCTTATCTTCTTCACTGCATCACACAGTAAATTCCTTGAGACCTTCTTGGCTGTGGTATTTCAATCACTTACAGCTTTAGTAAGGAGAATGTAAAAGGCTGGAGAGTCAATTGAAAAGAACTGTACAGCTCTGGAAGAACAAATTTATTTTGCTTTGCAAAACTAAAAAGGACCACAGGCAAAGTAAAGCCACATCTTCTTGGCTTTTGAAGCTGAATAAAGCATCCTGCTGATACAAACAACACTGTGAAGCTAAGCTGCTCATATGCTCAATATACTAAATGCTTTAATCTAAAGTAGATTTATTTTTCCATTCAATTTTCAAGTGATGACACTCAGAACCAAGTTCCAAATGAAGTTACCTCATGTTTATAAAATATTTTGTAGCTTTGGATCTGAGAACAATTATGAGACGTTTCAGTCAGAATGTCTAAAGCATGTTAGCAGCAAATGAAAAAAAAAAAAAAAAAGACAGAAAAGTAGATTTCATCATCCTTCAGTCAATTCCCCTCAGTGGAAAGATATAAAGAAGATATGTCAGTTTGCCAAAGCAGCACATCTAATTCTTTGAGGTAACTGAAGAAGTTTGTTCCAGACATATCTAAGGCACATACCCTGAGCGTGGTCGAACTTGCACAGAACACAAGGACGGCTGTTCTGAGACAGACCAATGGCCCAAGTAGCCCAATGTCCTGTGTCTAACACAGGTTAATAATAAAGCTCAGGAGAAAAAATTACAGCAGTACAGTAAATATACAGTGATATTTCCTTTATCCAGCTTCCTCTTACAAGTAGCCCAGAAGTATCTTAAGTTTTATCTTTTTGTGCTTAAAAAATTCTTGCCCTGTGACTGTCTAATCACCGTTCTAACCCAGGAAAACATGCACATCACCCCGGGCAATGAACTTCTCAGCTTAACGATCCAGGTTTCATTAACTTAAGTGCTGTGCAACCCCAACCAAAAAAGATGCCTCTTTTATTTTTTCTTGTCTTAAAGAAACATACTTTTACAGATACCTACAAGCACATACCTTGGTAACAAATTTTAGAGCTGTATAAATATTGCTAACAAACTCCTCAAAAAAGACAGTTAAATCCTGTATACATATATACACGGATGGATAGTTTGTCAAGAATGTGTAAACAACACACAATTATCTTCTTTTCATAAACAGGTTACAGAAATGCCACAAAAATTTCCAATGTAACACCACTGTCTCTCACATCTAACAACGGGTGAAGGAGAAACAGTGTAAAATGGGAAATCAACAGCTCCATCCTCCATGCACATATCTAACCGACAGCTCTTCATGCCTCAGCTTCAGCAGCTCCACCCAAAACACTAACAGGTGTCTTGCCATGAAGTCCATCACTCCAAGGCTGTTCACAAATCATGGGTTACCACATTTTTAATGCCACAGGACTGCTTCCTTTGCCATGCCTCCATTTGGGAATCACTTTGCTCAAACTAAAGGGAAACCTATGGCCATAGCTACCCTTAGTGCAACTCTACAAAGACAGCAAGTGGCCACAGAAAGTGCTAGCACAGACAAACACGATAACCACCATGAACATTTTATGCAGGGTCTTACAGATGGGATCTTCTTCCACTACAAGCAGTGGTCCCTAAAAATACACCAGTTCTAAACTGACATAATTTTAAGGACCGTATGAATGCTTGCTTCTGCCTTCCCTCAGTTACAAGGCCTCCTTGTGAAGGCAACATGCAGACAGATCCTCAAGGGAAGTACTGGCTTTCAAAATCCCAGAGCTAATTATTTTAGCACTGAGTCGATATTGCAAGATTTTAGTCATAAGAGGAAACCTAAACTGTAAAAAACAGATAAGTCCACAGTGATCATAAGCACATTCTACCTAGGAGTACTCTGTTGGGCAGGAAGGAGGGAATTCTCTTACCTTTTCCAGGCTTCAAGTCTTCAGTGCATACCCATTAAAAATTAAAAAAAAGGTAAACCAAAGTCTGACAGTGCAAGTTCATGTTTTCATTACTCCTGACACTAACATTCCCCATGGTGGTTGTCATTTATACATCTTGACAGAGAATATATATAGCTGAATGCCTCACCAACAATCTTTTTTGGGTTTTCCATAAAATATTTCAGAGGTTCTATAAAAAGATGTAAGATAACGGCACAGTTTACAACGATTAAGCACTCTCTCGGATGACATTCCTCTACCACCACTGTGAAGCGCTCAAATTACAGTAAAACACAACAGGGAGGAAGTCAGGGCGGAGTGATACCCTCAAGTAAATGAGTTACAATTAGCTTTATATTAACTTGTACCAGACTTGAGACAGCTTATCTCTGTCATGGAAGGGCTGGCAGATGGCGTTAAGAATGCAGAGATCTGGGGACTTTTAGGTTTGCCAGGTAAGTCACTTCTGTGTAGTCAGCACAAGTACCTGGAAAATGCACCCGTGCCAACTACGCCGACGAGCAAGGCTACAACTTTCAGGTAGACTGAAGAAACAGGTGAGGTTTCAGAGTCTCAGGAAACACCAACTCCCCAACGCGCTGGCCCAAGCCGCGTCACCGCGGCGGGAACGCTCCGCCGCCCCCTGAGGGGCCGCTGTCAAAGGGCGGGAAAGCCCCGGTAAGCCAGGCGCTCGGCAGGCGCTCACTCACGCAGCCCTCTCCCTAACGAGCAATCCGCCCCTCTCACCGCCCACCGCGCGGGGGGTTTAGGACTCCTAACAGAGGGTTATTTTCCGTGTCTCCTCACGTGCCAAGCGGCACGACCCCAGCTCCAGCGAGACGCGCCGTCAGCGGC